AGACCCGAACCGATATAAACCCGAACCGAAACCGAACCGAAACCGAAAACCGGTCAAACCGAAATAAACCCGGAACCGAACTGACCCGACCCGACCCGAACCGAAAAGACCCGACCCGGACCCGAACCGATTGACCCGATTGCCAGGTCTAGTTACACCTGTGGTCGCGCTAAAGATGCTTAGAGCATGAACTAAAAGTTCAAGCAACATCTTTAGGATGGGTCAGTCCGGCATCCTATTATCTCCAGATAATATCTGCCCATGTGTGGATGCGAACACACCGTCATTGACTATGAGACTAAGTCAAACATCCAACACACACTAGTCTCACATGCATTAACGATATCCTACTCTCGTTAATACTCAACTATGGACATTCAGATAAATATTTATTTCAAGATGTTAGTCTCATCAGCAGAAAAACACTATCTGATAATCATCTTTAAATATAAATCTAGGAATATAATATTTGTTTACATTAGCATGAGATGTGTAAACATATTATATCTGCCTATACATGATAGGATAACGATGAACAGTTGGCCATCAGGGCACAACTCCAACAAAACTGTGGCAATATTTCAAGGACGGAAAGAGTAATTTTATCACTCCAATTATTTTATAAACTATCAAGCCCTTCAAGCCCCTCCATGACACATGTCTAAGAGCATGTTCTTTAGAGCTTTACTCTGAACTTCTAGTTTCTTCCAGTTCCTTCTAGTTTCTTCTAGTTTTTTCTAGTTTTTTACAGTTCTTCCAGTTCCTTCCAGTGTTTTCCCGTCCTTCCAGTTTTTTCAAGTTTCTTTTAGTTTCTTTCAACTATTTTTATTTTCTTCAAACTCTTTCTGCTTTCCGATAAATCACTCTAAAATGATATTATTATTATTATTATTATTATTATTACAACTAGTATGTTCATAAATATAGTTTATAAATTATTTCATTTTTTTCATATCACTATTTTAATGGTTCACACTCATTATTATTATTTTTTTCAACTTTTTAATATGAACAATACCATTTTTATATTAATCTACATGATAAAATAGGTAAACATCGATATTTGAAATTATTTAAAAATATTATGGATAAAATAGTTGCATAGAGTGCTTTTAGTATTGTAAAAACTATACTCCGTATTTAGTATTTTTAATTAAGCTTCATTGCATTGTAGAATATTGATTACTATCTTATCTCTAAACTGCTTCATTGCATATTTAGTTTGTTCATCAAACAATATCACCTTGGCCTATCTTCCGTTGTTTGCTGCTTGGGTGAAATTGGTATTCCTTTTCGATGAAAACGAATGAAATTGTGCAAAGTGCGTGTTGCAATAACAATTTGAATTTGGTGCTCCTGTTTTATTTGAGGCATCCTAAGGTGCAAAAGTAGTTTTTTTTTGTGTATGAAAAATAACAATATGTTTTATCTTAAAGGTATTCATTCAGATAATGTGATGACAACAACAACAATAATGTATAACAACAATAATTAGAATGAAAATAATATAAAAATACACAAAAAAGTTAAAATATTTTTAGATTTTCTAATTTTCTTCTAGTTTTTTTAATTTATTTTAATGTTTTTCGAATTTTGTCGAGTTCGTTCAAGTCCTCCCAATTCTAGTTTTTCTAACGCAGGTCCTTCCAATTCGAGTTTTTCTAACGCTCTTTTTTTCCAGTAGGGTTCTAGAGAGGATAGATTATTATTTTTTCACTCACTCTTGAACGCTTAAATCCTAAACCCGCCGGATTGAAGTAGGCCACTTGAACAGTGAAACTGCTGAGAAATCTGAAAATCTCTGCTTCTTCTCCTTTATCGCGATGTACAGAGCTTCTTTCTGCATTGCTTCATCCATCAGGTTGTTCTCTTGTTTCTTTTTTTCGACTATGTTTTATCTACAGTTTCGCATAAGCGAGAATACATGTAAGAACTTACTGCTATTGGCATCTGATCAGGTCATCTGCTCCGAGGAAACAGGTAACTTTACGTTATACCTTCATCTGGTCCACCTATGTGGTCTTTATACGTTCTTTGTGTCAACGGACAGTGCTGAGAAATTTGTTCTGTTCGCTGTGGTTTGGGCATTTCGTATTTTGTTATTTTTTGACTTTGTTGTTCATGCTGTAAAGCTTTGTAGTAGGGTTCTCCCTAGCAGAAATTATGCTGCCAGGGATATCGGTTTTGGAAATTGGGCTCGAATGGCCATGTTACAAGGTGTTAATGAGCTTGCAGAAGCTGTGAAGGTTACAATGGGACCTAGGGTAATTTTCTTCTCAATCACCCGCTGTTCCATTTTTTTTGCTTTCATTTCTTTAAAAAATAGCTTTCTCACATTTTTGCCATTTGAAATTCTGTGTATTGGTGCGCGATATCCAGGTAGAGTATAAGAAATATCATATATTCTGCATTGTTGACCGATGTATGCATTTTTGAAATCCATTTAAGTTGTGCTATACTTACTTCATGGCACATGAATTTTTTTTTGTCATACTAATTGGAACTGTTTCTTTCTTTACACAATCTCTAGGGCCGTCATGTGATCATTGAGAGAAGTAGGGGAAACCCCAAGGTGACAAAGGATGGTGTCACTGTAGCCAAAAGTATTACATTTAAGGAAAAGGCTAAGAATGTTGGTGCAGAACTTGTGAAGCAGGTTGCTAATGCCACTAATTCTACTGCTGGAGATGGTAATGACTAGCTTTGAAATTTGAATCATACGCTCTTGAAGAATAATATACTCCCTCCTCCCCTATTTAACCTGGTTCACTTTGCACAAAGTTTATTAATACAGATTTTTTTGTTTGATAAGTATTTTGGAAGTAAAGGAAAGAGTCGATATTAACCTCATATTTCTTTCTTTAAAAAGATACATGGCTATTATTTAGGGACAGACCAAAATAGAAATAGTGGGAAGTTAAAAAGGGATGTAGGTATAAATGTTTATTACTCTATTTTAGATGGATTGATAGTCACAATATTTGGTGCCATATTACAACAGGTACTACTTGTGCTACTGTGCTGACTCAGGCGATATACTCTGAAGGTTGTAAAGCGGTGGCTGCTGGTGTGAATGTGATGGACTTGCGCAGGAGCATTAATATGGCTGTTGATGCTGTTATTGCTGACTTGAAGAGCAGAGTAGTTATGATTAGCACACCTGAAGAGATTACACAGGTGAAAAGTTCACAGAGAAATAAATGTTGTCCTGTTGATCTTCTAATCACTTTATCAGTCATTGCATAGTCATCAATTTAATGTACCAAAAGGAGTGTTTATTTGTGGATTTCTAATTTTTGAGGCACCCGAGGAATTTGGGCTATGCCTTGTGTACATTACTTTGTGCATTCCAAGTTCTATACCACCAGCTTTTGTTCACACCAACAAGCAGTTTTGTTTACACTGACAAATCGACAAAAGTTGTATGCGCCATGTCCATGAAAGCCCACACCTACATAGGCTACATCACACACAAGTTTTGTCAATATAGAGTATTAACAAAAATGCTTTTCAGTGTGAACAAATATGGATGGTGTACAACTCGGTGTATATAAAGTGCTGTTCCAAAATGGAATTTTCTAGAAATTTAGCTAGTTGATTCTTTCAACTAATTGACTGATTTTTTTTTGTTTGGATAAATGGATTGGTTACAGCAGACAAATTCGGATTAACAGTTTTTTTAAAGTTCCCATACAAATAGATATGGCTCTCTTGTATTTATTCATCCCTTATGAATTGGGTTGTTACATATCTAAATAGATAGCAACTATATCTGCAAATGGTGAGAGGGAAATTGGAGAATTAATAGCAAGGGCAATGGAGAAAGTAGGCAAGGATGGAGTCATTACTGTTGCTGTGAGTAATGTTCATGCATAGTCTATACGATTCCTCTAATGCTATATATAATGGTAAGCACATGATGTTGAATCTTTTCACTTGAGCAGGATGGAAATACCATGGATAACGAATTGGAAGTGGTGGAAGGCATGAAGCTAGCCCGTGGTTATATATCCCCCTATTTTGTTACAGATGCAAAGACTCAGAAATGTGTATGTAATGATATCTGCTCATTATTGATTTATTGCTCTCCATTCTATAATTGATCTATAATTGAATATTTGACCATGACATTTTTTTGCTACATAGTCTGGCCTCATTATTTGCAGAAGTCTTCTCATTTTGTGAGGGTACTTGTGTATTCATGATTCATGATATGCATAAAGGTTCTTTATCCTTGCAGGAACTGGAAAATCCCTTTATCCTTATGTACGAGAAAAAGATAACTGACCTGTACTCAGTTATGAAAATACTGGAGAAGGCTGTAGAGGTAATCAGTTTCTCTTGAAATTGAAGATCCACAAGGCCTTCATAAAATGTGCAAGAAAGTTCCACATATGTTATGATAATATCTTTGTTTTGGGTTTTGTGTATTTAGAAAAAAAGACCATTGCTAGTTGTTGCCGAAGATCTTAGCAGTGATGTTTTAACAATGTTTATTCTCAACAAGCATCAAGCTGGGGTTAAGGTCATTTGAATTTTCTGATGTTCTTGTTCCTGTTCATCTTTTGTTCCCTAGAGCTACTATTTTGCCCTCAAGACTTCTAAGACTAGTAAAGTTACTTTTCAGGTCTGTGCCATCAAATCTCCTGGTTTTGGGGATAATAGAAAAGCCAACCTGGAGGACCTTGCAGTACTTACTGGGGGGCTGGTTAGTGGTTCGGTTTCTTGTTTTTTTATTACTCCCTCCGTCCCCCTAAGATATTCTCATTTTGACTTTTAGTGATTTTTAAGGAGAGTTGAAAAAAGGTGAAAGTTTACCATAATACCCTCAATGAAAAATGGGTGGAGTGTATTAAATGAGGTGGGTGAGGTGTAATAAATAAAGTAAGTGGGGGTAGTTGTGGTATTTTAATTGTTAAAAAATGAAATGAGAAGATCTATTGTGGACATAGAAAAAGGGCTATTGAGAAGATCTATGAGGGACAGAGGGAGTATAAATTATGCTCTATATTATATTTTTCTGAAGCCTAATGCTTTCTACAGGTCTTTAGTGAAGAGCGTGGTTTAACTCTTGACGATGTTCCACTTGATTTGCTTGGAACTGCAAAAAAGGTTTGCATATTCAGTTGCACAGTTTGCATTTTGGCATTTTATTTTTGAACATTATTTTAGGACACAGAATTATATATATATATATATATATATATATATATATATATATATATATATCTGTGTGTGTGTAAGGTGCCTACACATTTTGACTTAATTGGAGCAGGTCACAGTCTCTGTTGATGACACTTTGGTATTACACGGAGGTGGCAACAAGAAGCTAATTGAAGAAAGGTGTGAGCAGGTAGTGAACCTTTGTGTTCTCTTTTTGCTTTCCTCAGAAAATATGCTTTTTGCATCATTCTCAACGAGATGAACCCTATTCGTTTCTTTTCTTGTCAATGTGATTCTGTCTGATATGTCTTGGGATAACTTTGTTTAGAATAAGATAATATTATTGAGGGTTGATGATACTTTTGAATTTGCTTCTGTATTAATGATAAAAAGCATGTATGGTTCATTGATCCACCCTTTTTTATTTCTTTTTAGAGTAAATTCCATAAAAGGTCCCCAATTTTAGGTTGTTTTACATATTTAGTCCCTACATATCAAATATTACTAATTTAGTCCCCAATTATTATATTCATTTCCACGAATGGTCTTTTGTTAACATTTCCGTAAAAAAATTGGATAAAATTGTAAATTCACATTTTTTCTCTCCCCAATTAAGCTTCCTCCCTCCCCCTCGCACACCTTTCCCAAACCCGTTGCTGAGTTTGAAGCTTTGAACCCAAAACCGAAATCATCACTCTTCTCTCAATTGTTTGTCTAACTGGTGGAACCCAAATTCGAAACCAGTAACCTTCATGGATGAGTTTTAATGTTTATTTTCTTTGCAATTTTTTGAGACTAACTGATAAAACTCATCCAGAAAGCTTATTGGTTTTGATTTTAGGTTCCACCAAGAAGACTAATAATTGAGAGAGGAATGATCATTTCAGTTTTGGGTTTAGAGCTTCAAACTTAGCGACGAGTTTGGAAAAGAGTACGAGAGGAGGGAGAAAGCTTAATTGAGGAGAGAGAGAAATATGAATATACAATTTTATCCATGTTCTTAACAAAACGTTAACAAAGGACCATTCGTGAAAAATGATATAATAATTGGGGACTAAATTAGTAATATTTGATATGTAGGGACTAAATATGTAAAACGACCTATAACTGGGGACCTTTTATGGAATTTACTCTTCTTTTTAGCGTATTCCTTTGGATTATTTATATTGATACAGAGTATATCTATACAAAGCATATAGACAGAAGGCACATTTGGTTACATTACCTAGTTTGTTGTGAGAATTGTATCGATAGAATGAACTGTAGTTGGTGCGCTAAAAGATAGATAACTGGTGCGCCTTTGAACAGCTACGAACTGTCATGAATAAGAGTAGTTCGATGTTTGATAAGGAGAAAGCGCGGGAGCGGTTGTCAAAGCTATCTGGTGGTGTTGCTATATTCAAGGTATACATTATTGTCATATAATGTTCTCCTCTTTCTCTTGCTTCCTTTACTTTTAATTTTACCCTTTGTATGGATTTTCAGGTTGGTGGGGTGAGTGAGGTTGAAGTTGGGGAAAGGAAAGACAGGGTTACAGATGCTTTAAATGCAACAAAGGCTGCTGTGGAAGAGGGAATTGTTCCAGGTACATACAAATATACAACGGGGGCATTTATCATTGCCTTTTACCCCATCTATTGGCATGTGCAGTTTGTAAATGGCTAGTTGAAGGTTTTCCCTATATAAAAACTGATTCTATCTTTTTTCCACTCAATTTACTTTTTCAAATGGCATTCTTCATAAGTTCAAAATCTGAGCATCTCTTATGACTGGCGTTCCGTAGATGCAACAAAAAACACCTATATATGTGTGTGTGTGTGTGTATTCTATCAGTCAGTTTTAACTTTCTAATTGAAACTTTGGTGTTGGTGTTCTTAGGTGGGGGCGCTGCGCTGTTACATGCGACAAGAGTTCTGAAAGACCTTGAGACTGCAAATGAAAGTCAAAGAATAGGAGTTCAGATAATTGAAAATGCTCTTAAGGTGTGTTTCACCATGGTAGTTTATTTTTACCACAAATTTTCAACAACAAAAAAAAGATAAGAGAAAAGTGTTACGTTCTACGCTGTGAATGGATTTGTGTTTTCTTACAACAGGCACCTGCTTTCACAATTGCTTCAAATGCTGGCGTCGATGGTTCGTTGGTTATTGGCAAGCTGTTGGAGCAAGATAACCTTAATTTCGGCTATGATGCAGCCAAAGGTTTGTGCCGAAGGGTCGGTGTGGATGGAGGGGTTTGTAAGTCATCCTAGTCAATATTTTAAGAAACGAATGTGTTTTAGAAACAATTAAAATGTTCTCTAATTGAAATGTTATATAATTACATATTGTGTTGATCTTCAACTTTTATTAAAATTTCATACATATATCAAGATCTTGACTTGTCCCTCCAATGCCCTCCATCAAGCAGACCTTAAGATATATCAAGAAAATATTGACTGATCTCTCTCTCTCTCTCTCACACACACACACACAATTTGATTATGTTGGAATGCCTTGAATTCTAACCTATTTGACTAGTCAACAATGGCTGCACCTGTCTGGAAAGTGGCTGGAAACCAGCTGGAAAGTGGCTGGAAGGAGGCCTAGACAATTGGGCAAGTGGGTTGCTAGTTGGTGAGGTGGGCCAGCTGTATGACAGCAGTATTGTGGGCTGTCAACTGCTCAGTTCCCACTGGATTTAGGCAGCCAAGTTGGCTGCCATCTTTCCAATAAATAGGTTCATTTGTAAGGCATTCAGACATAGATCAGTCACCTAGAAAATCCCTCTGTAATCTCTCTCCTCAATCAGTAAAAGCTCTCCTCTCTTCTGTTAGGTGGACGTAGCCAACATATTGTTGGTGAACCACGTTAAATCTGTGTGTGTTTGTTCTTTCGTTTCTTTATTGTTTGTTATCTTTCTTACATCCGTCATAACAAACTGGTATCGGAGCTCGGGTAATCGAGGTTTTTAATCTGGTGAGAAAGATGTCTGCTTTGAACGTAAAGATCGACAAATTCACAGGGAGGAATAGTTTTAGTCTATGGCAGATCAAGATGCGAGCTTTGTTGAAGCAACAAGGCTTGTGGACGCCATTATCAAAGGACGTTAGGGCTGACGATGTTGAGTCGGCTGCTTTCGAGGAGAAGGCACATTCGACAATCATGTTGTGTCTTGCAGATGATGTCATCACTGAGGTTGCAGATGAAGAAACTGCCGCTGGTCTATGGTTGAAGCTGGAAAGTCTATACATGACAAAGTCTTTAACCAACAAGTTGCTTCTGAAGCAACGTCTGTTCGGTCTCCGAATGCAGGAAGGTACCCCTCTTAGAGACCATCTGGATCAATTAAATACAATTCTTTTGGAGTTGCGTAATATTGATGTTAAGGTAGAGGATGAAGATGTTGCCTTAATTTTGTTGGTTTCACTACCATTGTCGTATGAAAATTTCGTACAATCTTTCATCGTTGGGAA